ATCTAGTCTAAATCGACCCCCCTTTAGTTTAATAAAGCCATTCCTTGTCCTGTCGCAACAGGCCCTGCTGAAAAGTTTGCTGCCGTCTTTTTCATAAGCCCCCCCTGCCGTGGGCAGGGACATCTTCAACTAGATCAGGTCGCTCACAGCAACCTGGCCTGGAATGTTTCATGTTTCTTATGCTGAGGGCTCCAGAGCTGGACGCAGTGCTCCAGGGGGGTCTCACCAGAGCAGAGCAGAGGGGCAGAATCCCCTCCCTCGCCCTGCTGGCCACGCTGCTTTGGATGCAGCCCAGGGGATGGTTGGCTTTCCGGGCTGCCAGCGCACGTTGCCGGCTCGTGTCCAGCTTTTCACCCACCAGTACCCCCAAGTCCTCCTCGGCGGGGCTGCTCTCCACCCCTTCATCCCCCAGTCTAACCCCTCTGCTGGGTTAGGACGCGCAGCCTGTATCGCACCCGGGAACGATGAGAGCCTTCCACGAAAGGAAGTCACAGCCTCGCTCCCCCGGTGGCCCCGGGACGCACCGACCGGCCCAAACCTGCGTCGTTCCTACCTGTGATCCGTGACTAACAACCGGACTCCCAGCCTACTCCGTCAGTCAGGATCTCACCTGCAAGCCCCTAGAGAAACCTCCCCGGCGGCGTGCCCCGGGAGGGAGGTGCTCTAGTTTCCTTCTTCCCTCTTCCGCGTTGGGCCAGCGAACCCAAAAATACTCGCTCTGATCTGCAGCAGCCGCCGGGCCAGGACAGGCTACGTGCCTGAGTGACCCAAAGGCCCCTCGCGGCTCCGTGGGAGAGGAGGCCGGGGCAGCGGCTGTTCCAGCCGGCTTCTCGGTCCGGTAAACCGGTACAATCGTGCGCGTTTGAAAAGCGCTGCCGGAGGTCTTTGTCGTTACCTTGAAGCTCTGAGGGCACCTGGTAGGAAGGATGGTAGTCAGGAATGGGGAGGTTGGAGAGATAGTCGCTGCCGAGAGCTGCCACGGGAGGACTCCGAAGCACGGAAGATGGCTGGCGGTCGATACTTAACACCCTGAAACGGAACACAGGCCCGACAGGCCTTAACAAGAGCGGAACGGCAGGCGGAGGGCAAAATTCCTCCCTTGTTTATCAGCAACGACAAAAAAAAAACAAAACCCAACCCCCAAGCCCCTGACGCTGCCATACCTGCGGCAAAAACGAGCCCTCCCTCCTCCCCTGTCCCGCGGTCAGAGAGGTGCGTCACCTCACCCCGGCCAGGCGTGGAAAGCAGCAGCAGCAGCAGCAGCAGCGCTTCCCGGGGACAGAGCAGGCTCGGATCTGGCTACTGCGGTGGCGTCGGCGTTCGGGGAAGGAAGCGAGCGGAGAGCAGGAAGGAAAAGAAGCCGAAGCCCAGCAAAGCCGGGGCGGGGCGGGGGGGCGGGTGTGTCTCG